TCTCGCCAAACCCTGCGCATTTTCCCCATCCTCCTCAGCTCTTTTTGCGGAGGCTCCTCCTTGGAGAGCCTCTGGGGGCCTCACACGAGTTTCAGGCTTTCTTAAGGCCTTATGGAGGCCTCCTGGGCGTGTTCTGGAGGTTCTGGGGGCTTCCTCGGGCCACCCTGCCTCCAACCGCGGGCGGTCTCCCTAAACGACCGGGTCACGATTTGGAATGGTTCGGAGGGTGTCTTGGGGTTGTCTTGGGCCGCCATGGGGCTCTCTCAGGGCCATCTTTGGCCCCTATTGTGCCGTTTTGGGGCTCTCTTGGATTGCCTGGAAGCCCTTTCGGATGATTGTGGGGCGATTTTGGAGCCTCCCAGGCGGCTTCGGACGTCCAGAAGACTGCCGTATTGGAGCGTCGGGAAGCCGAACAGAGGAGAACCCCAAAATTCACAAAAAAACCGCATAAAATCAATGATTGTTGCCTCTTGGGGCCTTCTTGGGAGTTCTCTTGGAGCTTTTTGAGGCCTTCGGAGCCGTCCTGGAGGCCTCTTGGGCCATCTTGAGGTCACGTCGGTCACTCTTGGAGCGCTCTTGTGCTGTCTTGGGGGTCGCTGGGACGTCTCCGATGACCCCCCTGATCGCCTTAGGTGTGCTAGGAAGGCTTGGCAAAACGCCCTGCGAGGCCCGGGGGGCCGCTTCGAGGCCCGTCCGGAGGGTCCCAAAGCCCCAGATCCCTGGGGTCCGTTTTTTTTTTGTTTGGGGGGGGTCCCCCCGCCCGGGCTTATAAAAATACAGGAAGAGGAACATCCATATCCAGGCAGGCGAAGGATCGGCTTTCAAGGAGCAGCAGTTTCCTTACCAGTCTTTGCGCGAAGACTTCTCACAAGAGGAGCGCATAAGCGCTGGATGGCCCGACAGCAAGCCCAAGTTCGTCGTTGTGTAAATTTACAGGCCGCAGCTAGCTGGGTGTTAGTAATCCCGCTGCGGCTGCAACCTCATTTCAATCATAGCAGGCAGGCCTTGAGTTTAAAGAACGCGCTGGTAATGGCCGAATGCGCGGCAAAGACTGCGTCGGATCGGGTGGCGTGGCCATTTCCGAGAACCTTCCAATAAACATCGATTGAGAAGCCATGCCAACCAGTATTGTAAGGCGAAAGGCAGCAGGCAGTGCGCAAGTGGCTGATTGAAACGAACACGGTTTACAGAAGCCAACATTGCATATGAATGGGAAGCGATGACGATCTGTTGTGCAGGTTCGACATCGTAGCGTTGTTGAAGCGATGAAGTGAGCCATCTGTGTTAGAAGAGCCACGTGCCAAACGTATCACAGTATGTGTGCCCGTGTGTGCGTGCGTTTGTGTGCGTCGTTGTGTTGGCGTGCGTGCGTGAGCGAACGCGGGCGCAACAAAGGCCGATCCGACCGAAGGCACTGAGTCTGAAGCAGTCCACGTTGGTCTGTTGCTGGTTGTGGCACTGTGCCATGCGAAGCTGTTACACGCTGCGAAGGCGATGCGGTGACACATCGAATTCCACATTTAGCCAATTCGACGCGCCGTTGTATGTTCTTCTGCACAAGCCTGATGTCTAAGGCGTGCTCTGATCACACGCGCGCGAGAGCCGTTGTTGGGAGGAAGTGTTCACGCGTGTTTCCTGCCATGTCCAGATGTGGCAGCCACAGGTTTCCAATAACCACCAGACGCTAATTGTCCAGGGCGCATAAGACATAATTACATGCTTTGTGGTTCGCCCCTTTCGTCACAACGTCGAAGTTCTTCTCGGATGCATTTGCACTCTTTGTTGCTGGCCTTTGGGTAAGTATTGCGGCGTGGTGGTGCAAGTCGGCAAGACGCACTGTTGACAGGCATTCGTTCACCGCTCTTGCGGCTGAGCGACCTTACCCATGGTGACCCGCACAATACGTTTACGGGCGGTTGTGTTTTCAGATTGGTTCGTCTCAAGTATCGCGTCAAGCCACCGTGTTGTGAACCGTCCCTGAGGGATGAGCGCATCGTGTTCGCCATGTCTGGTATGTATTATTATCAGATGCTGCACGGTAAAAGTATGAACGCATTGTTATTGTGTGCGGCACAGGTTCAGCCTCTGTGAAGTGCCATAACCGCCATTTGGATGTCATGGCACGTGGTGTTACGTGTTCGTGCTTATTTTGTTGTACGCCGACGATGTGTTCGCCCACACGTCCGTTCTGTTCCAGCCGTCTGGACAATGGCGGTATGCGATTACGCTTCTGAATTACGCATGTAGATTATTGGCGAAACAAGTTTTCCCGTTTGGTGCCAGGATGGGCCCGTTGGCATGTCTAGTCTAGCGGCGCCCTTTGCCCAGCCTGGAGCCGCGGCCGTTGATATAGTATTCTACCATATGAAATAGTGCGCGTAAGTGAGCGGATATGTGTTTGTGCCTGTGCCTATGTCGATGTCTGCGTGTGGGTGTCAATGTCTATGTATGTGTGTTGTGCATGTGTTTGTGAATATTGGGGCGTGTGTGTGTGTATGTGTGTGAGTGGTGTGTGTGTGTGTGTGCGTGTGTGCGCGTGTTTGCGTGTATGTGTGCGCGCGTGTGCGTGTGTGCGTGTGCGTGCGTGTGTGCGTGTGTGCGTGTGCGGGTGTGTGCGGGTGTGTGCGGGTGTGCGAGGGTGTGTGTGTGCGGGTGTGTGTGTGCGGGTGTGTGTGTGTGTGTGTGCCTGTGTGTGTGTGCGTGCGGGTATGTATGCGGGTGTGTGTCTGTGCGTGTGTGTGTGTGCGTGTGTGTGTGTGCGGGTGTGTGCGTGTGTGCGGGTGTGTGCGCGTGCGTGTGTGTGTGTGTGTGCGTGTGTGTGCGTGTGTGTGTGTGTGCGCGTGTGTGTGTGTGTGCGTGCGTGTGTGCGTGTGAGCGTGTGTGCGTGTGTGAGTGTGAGCGTGTGTGCGAATGTGCCTGTGTGTGCGTGTGTGCGTGTCTGCGTGCGTGCGTGCCTGCGTGCGTGCGTGCGTGTGTGCGTTTTTGCGTGTGTGTGTGTGTGTCTGTGTGTGTCTGTGTGTATGTCTGTGTGTGCCTGTGTGTGTTTGTCCGTGTGTGCGTTTGTGTGTGTGCGTGTGTGTGTGTGTGCGCGTGTGCGCTGTTGCTTGAAAGTTGGTTGTTTCGGCGTTTGTTTTTGCTTCGCCTCCTAGTTCGCTAGATGCGGCGCGAAGACGTATCCAGCTTTTTGTCCGACGCAGTCCACCACATCATTCGGGCGCTCTTGTTTCCACTCTGCACCGCTCGCCTCGGCTCGCCCTAACCTGGAAGAGCACAGAGTCGGTGTGACCGCAGCCGTCACACGCACGATTGCAATGTGCTCTAGTATGCCTTGGGAGGCCGTGACCAGCCGTTGACGCACCACGGTGAGCAGGACGAAAAAGCGTGTGGGTCTTTGTGTGTGTGTGTTTGTATGTGTGTCGCTTGTCTGCTGGAACATAAGGCATACTACCAGATGTGCGGATGGCACTTGGTGGCCGTAAGGTACGAGCGCGCGCATAATGCAGGCATGCGGCTCACACGCGCGACAAATAGCAGTGCAAATGGTACGCTAGTATGTATGAAGTTGTGTTTGCGGCTCAGAACATCGTAGGTGCGCTTGTGTAGCAATTCAGCGCTGGGAACAAGACGTGCCGGACAAACGTTTTGAGAAAGCGCCTTAGTATTGCCAAAAGAAGGTAGTCATATTGCAGAGTGCATCGAACGAGCGGGTGACGAGGTGAATTGACGCAGAGGTGGAAAGACGGCCAGAGATTGAGGCGTAGCTCGAGATGAGCACATGGTACAGTCACGACTTTGACATAAGAAACAGCTCTGGCTCGAATGGGGCTCGCAGTTCTTTAGGCCCTTCCATGGTTGATCCGAAAGCGTCCCGCATGCACCCAGTCACCGTTAGGGCCAGAAAGGAGCTTTGTTCCTCCCCAGGTATCCGACGTCATCTTTTTTACACAACTGCGATTCCCAGAGGTCTAGATCCCCTCCCTGGGACCAGATTTGTATTCCGAGTCATTTTGTTGACGGTCCCAGAGCACCGAGCCCGGCGAGGGCCCCCAGGAGCCGAAAGTTGCCAAAAACCGCCCGTCGCGTTTTTTTCTTCAACGAGAAGTGGTGTGGTTTGGTCAGGGCTCCTACGATGGAGGCCTCCCAGATGGGGTCCGAGTAGACGGGGTCGGAGGATCGCGCCGCATCGCCGCTACATTGGCGATGAGGCGATGCGGCTCGATGAGGAGCCCGAATTGGCTCCACGCCGACGTCGCCGATACACCGCCGACGTCGCCGATGCGGCGCGACCGTGGACCCCATCCAGGAGGCCTCTAACCCCGACCCCCGACCCCCGACCCCCGATTTTTTTTGCGCAACGTCGACCCCCAGAGGTCTCGACCCATTCCCCGGGACCGGCTCTTCATCCCGAGTCGTTTTTGGGACGGTCCTGGGTCCCAGCGGGGGCCCCCAGAGGCCGAAAACCGCAGAAAAATGTCCGTCGCGATTGTTTCACGACTCGAGGGGTTTGCTGAGATCGGCGCGGGGGTTGCGAAGGGGATAGGGGGGTCATCAGTGGGCGCCAAAAAGGTTATACCTGGCCTAACCTAGCTTATAAGTGGGTTGCTAATGCCCCAAGTGGCTTGGGGGGGATAGCGATCCAGGCTGAGAGGGCTCCGCCCACTTAGCGGAGTTGTCTCATCCCCCTGAGCCACTTGGGGCATGTGTAACCCTCTGACGAGCTAGGCAGGCCAGGTATAACCCCTGTGGTTCCCACTGATAAACTGGTAATCCCCTCACCCACCCCCGCGCATCTCAGTAAGAGGGAGGCGGGCCCTGGAAACGACAGGGCTGCTTTTTTTACGGGTGCCGTTTTGCCGTATTCGTGCCGGTTCCGACGCCGTCTTTTTACCGGTTCCGTTTCCAGTTTCAAGAGGCACTTTTTTGGAAACCGTCGAAAAAACAGCCCTGCCGTTCCCGGGGCCCACTAAGGGGCACCACGGGCGCCGCGCCCTCCGGCCCAGGCATGAACTGGCCGCCGCCCGAGGTCATCGCCGCCGGCAGCCAGCCGCGGCGCGCGAGGCCGCCGGCGCCGCCGGCGGAGCAGGGCGCGCAGGCGGGGTGCGGGCGGCGCGACGCGGAGGCTCACCGCCCACCGGACCACCCCAGCCCAACCCGCAGGCCCCGATTCGGCCTCCATTTCCAGTGCGGGGGGGGTCGGGGAACATGGAAAAACACGGATGAAACCCGTAACCCCCACAACCCGAAATTCGGGCGGAATTCGGGTCTTCGGGTTGGGTTGGGATGGTCTGGTCGGTAGTCAGAGGCCCCGTGGGGTTCTCGCGGCGCCTTGGTGGTAGGGTACAGTCAACCCGCATTTTTAGTGAGGATGGGCAGCCTTCCCAAGGGTACCCTTGCATCCTTGCCTCCTCGGTCACTCCTCGGCGACTTTCGCTGGCCAGCCTCTTTCGAGAAGCGTTCACATGGGCCTCCACGGCCCTTGCATCCTTACCGCGAGTCCTCATGATACGGGTCGACTTATATGAGTCGGCGGCGAGCGAGGGGGGACCACTCTGCCCTGAGATCCTGGTGTCGCCATTTTTCCGAGCTGGGCGCTTTCGACCGATTTCGGGCCCGGGGACCCTCACGGATCGATCCAGCTCGAAGAAAGGTGCAGAAAGATGGGGTCTAGGGCTCCGGGCTTGAGTCGGATCTCAGGGTAGTCGGCGGCGAGCGAGGGGGGGAGAAGGAGACGGCCTTCTCGGAAGGCCGCCGGGCTTCTCAGAAGCCCTCGCGCCTTCTGAGAAGTTTTCGGTGTCTTCTGGGAAGGCGTTGAAAAATTGTCAGAAGGCCGGGAGACTTACGAGCCTTATGAGAAGGTTTTCTCTTTCTCACTTCCCCCCCTTGCTCGCCGCCGAAGATGAGACCCTTCAGCGGGCTCGTTTCGATTCCTCCAGCTCGATTCGATTCGATCTCAACCGGTTCCGATCCCGATTCGTTTTGATCTCGGGTTCCAATTTCGGATTCGGTTTCTCAGTGGATGCCGTACCAGCTTGCCGAGTTTCGCCGATCTGATTTCTCCAGACTTGGTTGCCAATTTCCGCCGATATGATTAATTTCGATCGCCGATCCGACTTATCGAGTCTAATCTGGACTGCCTTGCTGTTACAGCCTCCTTATTATTTGGCAAGCCGCTCCAGCCTCTCAGGCCGATCCTGCAGGCCATCTACCAGAAGACATCAGAACTGGGTTTTCCCTTTTCGGAAAACGACGAATGAAATGTGGCACTCGTGGGACGTTTTTGGGGTGTCTCTGGGGGCCTGTTGGGTCCTGTGCGGGCATTATTGGGCCCTCCGAGGGCCAGCCTATTAGGCCATCTGGACACCGACGTGCGCTGTCACAGGCCCACCGGAAGCCGAACAAAACGAGAATGTGAACGCGAAATCGAACGCGCGTTGTCCAATGATATGGGCCTCCTCTTGCGGGCTTACTGGAGACCTTTTTGAGCTTCTTGCTTCAGATTGAAAGCAGTCTGGGCCGTGTTTGAGTCATCGTCTACGTTCCAACCCCGTCAAAATCCGCGGAGAGGGGGCAAGGGGACGGCCATGACATCCCCCGAGGGAGGACAATGGATTGTTTCGAAGGAGCTCACCCCCTAAACCACCAACGCAAAGAGGGCTGGCGAGATACGCGGCACCGGCTCTACTTGAGGTCCTCGCCGCATGCAGTAAGTACCAGTGTCATTGTTTGGTGTATTGCAAAGATTGTTATAACCTGTGTAGGATGAATGATGCTTGCTACATCTGCATCGCCCGGCAGCTGGTCTGGATAATTACGTGAGCAAAGAATGCACTCCGTTGTCGTGAGAAGAGCTCTTGCCTTCAAGTATCTCACCCCACCCGTTGGAAGCCGCTTCCCCAAATTCGCGCACAACCACGTTGTTTCCATGACTATTTCTGTATATGTGCATGTTGTATGTTATTGATTGGCACCTCGTACGTAGAACTCTGCTGTGAAAGGAGCAGCGAAAGAAATAGGAAGAGCAGCAGCCGCAGGAGGGTGAGGAGGGAGACTGTGATGAGGATCGATAGCGGATCGGGAGTAAGAGGAGGATTAATGATGATGTTGATGATGGTGGTGATGATGATGGTAGTGGTGGTGATGTTGATGCTGATGTTGATGTTGAGGTTGATGTTGATGTTGATGTTGATGATGATGATGATGCTGATGCTGATGCTGATGCTGATGATGATGATGATGACGACGACGATGACGATGATGATGATGATGATGATGATGATGATGATGATGATGATGATGATGATGATGATGATGATGATTACGAGGAGAAGGAGGAGGAGGAGGAGGAGGAGGAGGAGGAGGAGCGGAAGGAGGAGGAGGTGGCGGATACGGAGGCTGGATAGGGAAGATTGGTAACAGACGAGGCGCTGGAGGCGCACCTCGAGGTTTTGTGCACCGCTGAGGCTGTCACTGAGACAGCTCGCGCCCGTTGGCGACAGGAGTGCCCTGAGGAATGGCCCGTGCCAGCAGATCGGCCCGGAGAAAATCGGAAGCAACCGCGGGGGGGTAGGATAAAGTCGGGCACGTCCCTCTACAGGAGGAATACTCAAAAATAGTCAAAAATAGTCAGGGGGACGATGTTTCGGCGAGTGTTGGATCATGTTTGAGTATGTTGTGTGTGTATACATATACATATATATATATATACATGCCTTCAAAATCCGCCTGTAGGGGGGCACGCCCGACCTAAAGGTGCGATTGTCCAGATCGAAGAAGGTCGCGGGCGCTCCTCCTACCCCCTTCCCCCTCTCCCCCTCTCCTCCAGGAGTGCTGGGGACCGCCTTCCTCGCTCTTATATGAATATAAGAAAACACACAACAAAACAAAACAACGAACAACAATTACCCTGCGACGTACCCAACCCTTTCCATACATGCGGCGAGTATACTCAGGACCACTCAATGCTGACTGGCATTCTGAAGGACTCGCAGTGCGCAAGAAGAGCACCCAGCAGCGATTTCAGAAGAGCGCAGCAAGAAGAGCAGCGGCGAAAATATAAGACAGACACACAAGGGGCGTTTGTGGTGGTCCGCGTATGACGTACCTCCGCTGGGCCTCCCAGGAGCCCACGAAAGTGGCGACAGTTGCGCGGATCGCAAGCCCCCCGGGGGCGGCGAGCTACCGAGGTGATCCGCGTGGGACCCACCTCCGCTGGGCCTCCCAGGAGCCCACGAAAGTGGCGACAGTTGCGCAGATCGCAAGACCCCCAAACGGGCGACGAGCTACCGAGGTGATCCGCGTGGGACCTACCTCGGCCGGGCCTCCCAGGAGCCCACGAAAGTGGCGACGGTTGCGCAGATCGCAAGCCCCCCAGGGGGCGGCGAGGTACCGAGGTGCTCCGCGTCGGACCCACCTCCGCTGGGCTTCCAAGGAGCCTACGAAAGTGGCGACGGTTGCGCGGATCGCAAGCCTCCCAGGGGGCGGCGAGCTACCGAGGTGATCCGCGTGGGACCCACCTCCGCTGGGCCTCCCAGGAGCCCACGAAAACAGGAGCCCACGAAAGTGGCGACAGTTGCGCAGATCGCAAGCCCCCCAGGGGGCGGCGAGCTACCGAGGTGATCCGCGTGGGACCCACCTCCGCTGGGCCTCCCAGGAGCCCACGAAAGTGGCGACGGTTGCGCAGATCGCAAGCCCCCCAGGGGGCGGCGAGCTACCTCCGCTGGGCCTCCCAGGAGCCCACGAAAGTGGCGACAGTTGCGCAGATCGCAAGCCCCCCAGGGGGCGGCGAGCTACCGAGGTGATCCGCGTGGGACCCACCTCCGCTGGGCCTCCCAGGAGCCCACGAAAACGACAGATCGCAAGCCCCCCAGGGGGCGGCGAGCTACCGAGGTGATCCGCGTGGGACCCACCTCCGCTGGGCCTCCCAGGAGCCCACGAAAGTGGCGACTGCGCAGATCGCAAGCCCCCCAGGGGGCGGCGAGCTACCGAGGTGATCCGCGTGGGACCCACCTCCGCTGGGCCTCCCAGGAGCCCACGAAAGTGGCGACGGTTGCGCAGATCGCAAGCCCCCCAGGGGGCGGCGAGCTACCGAGGTGATCCGCGTGGACCCACCTCCGCTGGGCCTCCCAGGAGCCCACGAAAGTGGCGACGGTTGCGCAGATGCCTCCCAGGAGCGAAAGTGGCGACAGTTGCGCAGATCGCAAGCCCCCCAGGGGGCGGCGAGCTACCGAGGTGATCCGCGTGGGACCCACCTCCGCTGGGCCTCCCAGGAGCCCACGAAAGTGGCGACGGTTGCGCAGATCGCAAGCCCCCCAGGGGGCGGCGAGCTACCGAGGTGATCCGCGTGGGGCTGGGCCTCCCAGGAGCCCACGAAAGTGGCGACGGTTGCGCAGATCGCAAGCCCCCCAGGGGGCGGCGAGCTACCGAGGTGATCCGCGTGGGATCCCAGGAGCCCACGAAAGTGGCGACAGTTGCGCAGATCGCCAGCCCCCCAGGGGGCGGCGAGCTACCGAGGTGATCCGCGTGGGACCCACCTCCGCTGGGCCTCCCAGGAGCCCACGAAAGTGGCGACGGTTGCGCAGATCGCAAGCCCCCTAGGGGGCGGCGAGCTACCGAGGTGTCCGCTGAGCCTCCCAGGAGCCCCCGAAAGTGGCGACGGTTGCGCAGATCGCTAGCCCCCCAGGGGGCGGCGAGCTACCGAGGTGATCCGCGTGGGACCCACCTCCGCTGGGCCTCCCAGGAACCCACGAAAGTGGCGACGGTTGCGCAGATCGCAAGCCCGACGGCACGAGAGAAGAGGAGAGGGGAACAAAACGAATACCCAACCATAGGAGGGTTGGGAACAAACAAACAGAAAACAAACAATTAAACAAGCAAAAAAACGCGAGGTCGTCGGCAGGTTTCGGCATCCAGGGCCCCCCCGGGCCCCAGGGCCCCAGGACTCTCAAGCAGCGATCCGGGATGAGAAGCCGGTCCCGTGGAGGGGGTCCGAGTTCAGGAACTTTTGGTTCGCGTGTCGTGCCGCCAGGTTCCGGCCCGCCACGTCTCGGCGCGACGCGCTGTCCACACTCGTGGCCCCCAGGCTTCCACGTCCCGAGCCTTCCTGGGCCTCCCGCCCCGTGGAGCGGAGCGGCACGCGAACCACTCGCAAGGCATGGCGCGTCGCCACGGGGCTGCCGCGGCGGCGAGCAGAACAAGAGCTGACCAGCCGTCGACCTCTCTGGGGGCCCAAGCTGTGCACGAAGCCACGATGCCGCTGCCGCAGGCCACGAGCGCCCCTCCCAGACCCCCGACGTCGTGATTTGTTCATGGCGTGACCCAGAAGAGTAAGTCGGGCATGTCCCTTTACAGGAGAAATATCCTTAAATAGTCCAAAAATACAATGTGGACGATGTGTTTTACTATTTCAATCATGTCTGGGCATTTTTGGACTATGTTTTAGTTTTCTTCCAAAATCCGCCTGTAGGAGGGCATGCCCGACCTAACCCTACGAGCCTGGACTCCTTCCCCAGGGACCGTTTTTTCTTGTTGAGTCGTTTTTTGACGGCCCTGGGGCCCCGTGAGGGCCCCTGGAGGCCGAAAAGATTAAGAAAGACTTCCCGTCGTGTCTGTGTGTGAATGTGTGAATGTGTGAATGTGTGAATGTGTGAATGTGTGAATGTGTGAATGTGTGAATGTGTGAATGTGTGAATGTGTGAATGTGTGAATGTGTGAATGCGTGAATGTGTGAATGTGTGAATGTGTGAATGTGTGAATGTGTGAATGTGTGAACGCGAGAACGTGTGAACGTGTGAACGCGTGAACGTGTGAACGTGTGAACGTGTGAATGTGTGAATGTGTGAATGTGTGAATGTGTGAACGTGTGAACGTGTGAACGTGTGAACGTGTGAATGTGTGAATGTGTGAATGTGTGAATGTGTGAATGTGTGAATGTGTGAATGTGTGAATGTGTGAATGTGTGAATGTGTCAATGTGTCAATGTGTCAATGTGTCAATGTGTCAATGTGTCAATGTGTCAATGTGTCAATGTGTCAATGTGTGAATGTGTGAATGTGTGAATGTGTGAATGTGTGAATGTGTGAATGTGTGAATGTGTGAGTGTGTGAATGTGTGAATGTGTGAATGTGTGAATGTGTGAATGTGTGAATGTGTGAATGTGTGAATGTGTGAATGTGTGAATGTGTGTGTGTGTGTGTGTCCACAGCGCGAGGGGGTCTGGGAGCGCCCCCCCCCCCCAGCGGAGCTGGGAGGCCATGGCTGCTGGCGCCGTGGCGTGCGAGGACGCCCCGCCCCCGTGGCTCGGCAGCGCGGCCCGGGCGCGGGGGCCGTGGGCAGGGCCAGGGGGTGCGCAAGGTGTTACGTCTGGGGGGCGATTTGTCGACTTTATGTTTGACCGTGCTTGAATACGTTTGGCTACTATTTGCTTGTCTTCCAACACATCCGCCTGTAGGAGGGCATGCCCGACCTGACGCAAGTGTGCGACCGTCCACGGCCGGAGGAGGCGTGGCCCCCCTTCAGGGGCAGCGACGGGGAGGGGGGGCTGCCCCAGACGGGGGAAGCACCGGGAGGCGGAGGAGGGGGAGGAGGAGGAGGAGGAGGCGGAGGAGGAGGAGGAGGCGGAGGAGGAGGAGGAGGCGGAGGAGGAGGAGGAGGAGGAGGGAGGAGGGATGTTAACATGCAAGCATGCGTGTGACAGGGGAGGAATAGTAACCCTGCTGCCTTTGGCTCAAGTGTTTAACGGTCGAAGCTACATAGACCTGCTTTGCCGTTCGGGAGTATAAAGGTGACCTATCGTTATCATTGTCGCCAAGCTCCCGTGCAGAACCCTCCTCGGGGTTTTGCATGGTAGCGGAGCGCGGTTGCCATGGCAGCGGCAGCGGCAGCTGCGGCCAGACCTGGACAGGGCGACCCGCCAGTTAATCTCAATGTGCCGGAAGACAGAGATGCATGGGTCAACATGGACCCGAATCGATTCAACGATCTATGCGAGCAAGCATACATGAACGGAGACTTCAGTTACGTTCAGACGGCGCTACTCGCGAACCACTTCGGACTCGCAACGTTCATTAACGAGCGAGTAGCACAGGATCGAAGGGAGGTATCGAACGCCGAAGCATTCAAAATGTTACAGAGTGCCCACAAGACCAACAGTATGCTGTTAGCGATCACAAAGAGAAACGCTGCACTCGAAAGGGATGCTCGTAGATTGGTGGAAAGAGTCACCGAGTTGGAGACCAACAGTGAAGTACAAGAAAAGTTGATCGAAAGGTTTGGTCAGATCTCGGAAGCAATCAAAGGAGGAAGCGGAAACAAGCACGGGAGCAGTAAACCGATAAGCGAATATAAAGCATTACAGGCGCTAAAGAACTTCAGTGGGGAAAGAGCAAAGTTCAGAGACTGGAACGACAAATTCTTGAACGCACTAGCCCAAGTGAAGCCGAGTTACCGACCGGCACTGAAAATGCTAAACAAGAAGCTGGAGACGCTTGACGGAGTTGTACCAGAGGAGGACGATGACGACATCATACGCATAATGAACGGTCGATTAACTGCAAGTGAGTACCTGAAGGCAAGTCAAGCCAAACAAGCCGAGGACGACAACAAAGGCGAATATGAGTTTACCGAGGGAGACAAAACTCAGATGGAAGAAGACTCATGGCACATTCTGAACGAGAAACTTGAAGGTGCGGAGGCCAGAGGAAAATTAAAGGTACTGCTGGATGGAGATGGAATCATGGCTTGGCAAAAGGTTTACAAATGGTACTCGGCGGTAACCGGAGCGACCTTATCATCAAAAATGACGCATGCCATGAATCCTGAACCGCCCAAGAAGATCACTGACACTGTTACCCGACTTGAGGAATGGAGCGCACTGGCAGAAAATATTGAGAAATATGGCAAAGATTACTCGCTGCCTCTTCCTTTCAAAGTCACCGCGCTCAGGGCCATAATGGTGCACGCGAATGACTGGTTTGACGAATGGCAGCAGGCATGTTGGCGAACGCCTGACGCGCTTAACATTGACTCATTTCAGAAATTGTACTCAAAGTGCGAAGACTGGGCGCGTAAAAAGAAACTTGACTCAGATACGAAAAATAAGGATGCAATGGACATTGGGAATATCAACGAGATGAGTCAAGGGTCCGAAAATGTTTGGGACCAAACAGGATGGGTTGACGAAGATGGAAACTGGTGGTCAGAGGATGGATCGTGGAATCACGGGTCCTGGGCCAATGAGAGTGACGGTGGAGAATATGAAGAAATTGACGCCGTAAACAAAGGCAAGGGTAAAGGAACGGGCCCCAGGTGTTACAATTGTGGAGGCATGGGCCATTTAGCCAGGAACTGCACGAGACCTAAACAGTTCACCAAAGGAGGTAAAGGTGGCAAGGGCGGAAAAGGCAAAGGTTACCGAGCCACTTACGGATCCTATGTGAAAGGTAAGATCGGAGGCAAACAGGGAGGTAAAGGAAGTAGCTCGTGGGGAGGAAGCTACGGAAGCCAAGGGAAGTTCACCCCGCACAGCGAGCGTGAATGTTACAAGTGTGGCGGAAAAGGGCATATCGCCATTAACTGTCCGGGCTCCAAGAAGACCGCCAACGAAGTTGAGCAAGAGAAACCTGTAGTGAACGCCGAGATTGAACAAACCACCTCGTTCGGCCAACCACAGCACGTTCTCAGCGTCGAGATGAAGGAAGCAATGAACGTGCCGCTAGACCAGCCTGCAATCGAGGAGGTTAACGAGAAATGGGACCTGCCCTATTACGCAAGAAAGAAGACGGCACGTAACAACGCGGTAAACTTGAGAAGAATCTATCAGGAACACCAGTACAACGGGGACTGTAATCATACTAGTCAGTGGGACCAGAGAATAAGTAAAAGCGTGAGGCAGGAAAAAAGTTGGCTGGCGAAGTGCAAGGAAATTGGGCTAATTGAGATGCGGGGATGTGATCCAGAGATTAACGCAGTGCCACCGCCAAGTGCAACACATGAGACGATCGTGGTTACCGTGGACTCCGGCGCCTACAACACAGTGGGACCCCCCAAAGTTGGCACTCATTTCCCTATTAAGCATACGGACGCGTCAAAGCAGGGACGACACTACAGTGCAGCAAATGGAACCGCGATAAAGAATTATGGCCAACGAGTGATCACAGGTAAAAATGAGCATGGGAACGCCGTCAGTATGCCGATTCAGGTAGCAGAGGTCAACAAAGTCCTAGGATCGGTCAGAGAGATGGTAAACGCTGGAAATAGAGTGGTATTCGACAAGGATCCTAACGGGATGTCCCTGAGCCACATCATGAACAAGGCGACTGGTAAGTTAACGGCCATCCATGAGAAGAATGGCACATTCCAGTTCAACATCACAGTACCGAAGGGACCAGCGGAGGCCGTCAATCCCAGGAGCGAAGTGAACGTGACTGAGGGTTTTCCGCGGCCGGGAACCCTGGAGGCGGATCTGTTCTACTAAGCCCCCCGTCACCCGTAAGACCAAGCGAAAACTTAAACGTCTTTAATACCGAAGGAGACGAAGGGAGTGAAAGTGGGGGCAACGATAGTGAGTTAAGTGATGTGGAAGATGTATTTGTGGGTGATGAAGCGGAGTTACCAATGAAAGTTTACTGTGACATGAGGCCCTCAAGGGAGGAAGTTGAAGCGCATACCACGACGCATTTACCTTACCGAAGCTGGTGCCCACATTGCGTCAGAGGGAAAGCGCGCAGACGCAATCACCGTAGACGCAAAAGAGAGGGGAACGGGAACGTGCCAGTGATTTCAATGGACTACATGTGGCTTAAAGGAAGAAAAGATGAAGGTGAAAGCACCAGCAATGGCAACCCGATTTTGGTCATGCATTGCAGAGAGACCAAATTGACTTGGAGCAGAGTGTTAATGAAAAAGGGAGTGGACTCGTACTCGGTAAAAGTAGGATGTGACATGATAAGTTTTACCGGATACAAGAAAGTGATACTCAAAAGTGATGGGGAAGCGGCAATCACAGCATTGGCCAATAGGATTAAAGCTTCGTGTGATCTTGACATGGGAGTTGAGGTCAGCCCAGTGGGCGACTCAAAGGCCAACGGCGAAATTGAGAGAGCCGTTAGGACAGTGCAGGGTCAGGTCAGAACGTTAAAGAGCGCCTTAGACGCCAATTATAAAACTGAGTTTGGTGTAAGCCATCAGATAATACCTTGGCTGGTGAGCTACGCGTCCTCTTTGATTAACAAGTTCACAATAGACACGGATGGAGAGACGGCTCGTGAGAGGTGCAGGGGACGAAAATTTAACAAGCAAATCCCAGAGTTTGGTGGGTGTGTCATGTATTTAAAGACACCTGCGCACAAAGGCCGTGAGAAGCTCGAAATGAGATGGGAAAGTGGAGTGTTTCTAGGCATAAACGAGAAAAGTCAAGAGCTAATTATTGGGACGCCCAATGGTGCAATCAAGGCGCACGAGTTTAAAAGAAAAGGAAGTGAGGCGGAAAGATGGAATATTGCCGAGACTACCGAAATAAAGGGGTTACCTTGGCAGCCGGACCCGAGCACGGCGGGAATGGAATTGCAGTCTAGGATCATGGTACCCATGGATCTACCAGAGCAAGAGTTAACTGCGCCTGAGACGAAGCCACTCATTGCAAGAGGGATTGCAGTTAAAAAGCACGAATACTTGAAAATGGGACCGACGCCAGGGTGTCACGGATGTAAATGCCTCGTGAGAGGAGACAAAGAGCACAAGCCGCATAACGCCGATTGCAGGGCTCGAGTTATTGAATGGTTAAAGAAACAAGAGAGCCCGAGCATCCAAGCAAGACTAGCGTCTGCACAGTTAAGGCTTGGGAGTAAAAGTCGTGCACCAGAAAATCGTGAACAAGAATCAGTAAGTCAAGCGAAGAAACTGAGGATCAATGTACCACCTCCGCCGAGCGCCAAAGTTGAGGAACCTAAGGACGAGTGGGTAATAAAGGGAAACAAAGTTATATGTCAGCACCGACGACCGAGGAAAGAGTTAGCCTTCCCCACCAATGGTGGGTGTCCAGTGGACTGGGACAAACTTAAGCCTAAGAGATATACCCACGCGATCATGATTGACGGCGGCAAGATACATGAGCACGAAGATGCTTGGTATGGTAAAGATGGAGACGATCAAACATGGGCTATGGGAAACCCCTTTAACGGTTACTGGACCGGATGGACCGAGTTCGAAGTAGAAGATGAAGAAATGAAAGATTCCCCGAGTAAACCCATTAAACGAAAAGCAGAGGACGATCATGACAAAG